GAGTGTCAAAAGATTTTTGTTAACAAACACTATAAACGCTTTAATGCTGCTTTTTGACTAGCTTTCTAACTTCCATACTCCAATCAATCTCATGGGAAGTCGGGTCACCATTCTGCCATTTTCTTTACCTGCTAAAGAAATAGACAAAATAATAAAAACTACAACAACAACATGGCCAATATGAAATGATACAAAACACACTATCATAATCTTATCCCTGAATATATATTTAACCTAATTTGTGTTGCAGTGAGATATTGCAATGGAAGAAGTTAGCCAGGAAAAGGACGAACTTTGGCAAAGTTTAAGAAAAACAATTTACAATCTTTCCTGATTTTTTTTTTTGTATATTCCCTTAACTAAAATACTACAAAATAAATCTAAGCCCTGTTAACTATTTTGTTTTCTCTGTTTAGTGTTTTCTATCACAAACAACCAAATACGTATGTTATGGTTTGCTTGGGCACATGAATTCCAAAACCAAAATTTGTGATATAATTTTAGAATTCGAAAGGGTTAAATTAAGTTTAGCTAGTACTTAATAAGAATGAATGTTCTGTATTCAGAAGAAAATCCGAAAAGAGCAAACTTTAAACCATCAACAGAATTTAAAATAGATTCAAAGAGTGTAGTTTAATCATTAATCTCATTTCAAGTTGCACTAAGACATTACATAGGAAAACTAAAAGAGTCGAATTTTGACAAAGTTAGGGGAATTTTTTTATTAAAAAAAAAATTAAATTTTTTTATTGAAATGTTCTATTATGGGGGCAAAAGCTTGTTTCAAATTCTGGTGGATAAAATTTAAAATCGTTATAAGAAAAAAAAATTTATATATACACTTTATATAGATGTAATCATCATAAAAAAAACAAATAAGATGTGGGTTAAGATTTAAGAGTATTACTTGGATGGGATATGGATTTTTTTTTAAGTCCGACAAGAACAAACATTAAATCATTAATAGACAATTAGATAGAATTTACAACAGAAGAAAAAGAGTTTTCGATCAATTTCTAGAAAAGTTACGAGAACACGACAGGACACGAAAAATCAAGATGAACACGTTCTCGCGTTGCGTTCAACCTTCGTGTATGATTGCGAAACAAAGAATGCAAATCTATCTACTAGTGAACTGAATTTTCTGCAAGTGAGCAAAGAAATTGAGAAAAGGAATGACAAAAAAGCGTGTGGATAAGGCTCGCACGTGCATGGGGTGGCCTGGTGAAGAAAAAAAATCATCTTCGATATCTTCACCCTTTTTCATTTTCCACAACCTAAATTTCAGAGAAAAAGCGACAAATCACATGGCAAACTTCAGATGGCTTTCGTTTAAAAAAAAAAAAACATTTTCAGCGGCATCATCAGTTTCTGTTACTAAATATAAAACCATTGGTTCTTCGTATTCAAAATTAATATTTTAATTGTTATTTGTTAATCGCATCTAACATATTGGCGGATATCCACTTTTCTATAAAAATATACAGCACAGCTAAAAAACTAAGATTGTATGAAAACTCTATCTAACTTTATTTTCAACTTGAAATCGATTTAGAATATAAATTTATTTAGAACTATAAGGATATGTCGCCAAAACGTAATTTATAAAAGTGTCAAGTTAAGAATGTTTTGAAAACATCCATACTAGTTTTAAAAATGTTCGAAACATGTTTTGAAAGCATTGATTCCAGATTTGAAAACGTTATGGTTTTCATGATTTTAATTATAAACCCGTAGCTAGGGACATGAATAAGTTAAAAGTGTATGAATACTTTCGTACTTTTAAACTAAACTAAAAAAGAATAAATAAATCTTAGAAAAAGTTGTTTTAGTTTTTTAGCTTTTTTTATAAACGTGATTTAAAAGACAGTTCTATGTAATCTTATGTTTTCAAAACCTCTCTGTTTCTTATATTAAAAATCATATTCGATAATTTTAAAACATTTTACTTCCACATACACGCATCCGGTTCTATGCAACCCTGCAAAAGCATAGTTTTAAAAAATTATGATAATTCAAATGAATAGATAATTAACCCAAATGTTCTATGTTTAAACTATTATCGTTTGATATTCGAACCAAAACACTCTAAGTTCTAACTAACAGTTGTGATTCAGTTGTAACCAACTATATATCGAACTTTTTTCTTAGTATTTTCCTTGGCATTTATAGTTTTTTAACTGACAAAAATATTCAGTTTTTTACATGTTTTAAAGATAGTTTGAACTTCATCATATGATATATCTTAGTTACAGAAGAAAACATTATAAATTTACGTTAAAGTAGGTTTCACAAATAAACAAAAACAAAACAGACAAAAGATGGGTATATACGTGACAGATTTGTAATCTTATGCGTTGGAGTGTTTCTCATAAATATGTATGACGATTTGTAAGCTTTTGCTTTGAATATATATGCATGTGTTATATATATATATATATATATATATATATATATATTTCTTTTTTGGGGTGGAGGGGGGGGGGTGGGGGGAGGCAATCGTATTGTCATTTCAATTAACGTATCAGCATAGTTTTAAAATTGAAGATGTTTGAATTATAATATGATTAAAATGGATGATATTCTATATTTTTGTTATAAGTAAGTAAGTAAGTCTGACTCATAAAAAATCAAAACTACCATTTGAAACGCCTACTTAGTTTAATCAAGAAAGAATTTCAAATGAGACTCGTGTATTGTAGTAAACTTCGATCATCATAGGAGGGTTTGGAATTTTGGGGATATGATTTTATAGTTTAAAGCAGATTCTAAAGAGCCTGAAGTCTCATCTACATTAAGCTATGGGCTTCTTCATACACACACATGTTTTATTCTAATTAATTAAAAACTGATATGGTTTTGGTTTATAGATTAATTAATGTTTCTACCCTTGGTTTGTTCCATACTTATATGGCTTTGCTCTCTGACTGGTCCATTTTATATTTATGGTTTTATCCTCTAACTATTTCATATTTATTTCTATACATTTGGTTTTTTTCAATAAATATGGTTTACCTTATATTTCTTCCATATTTGCGTATGTACCCTCGATTGTTTCATAAATATGGTTGTGCTATCTGATTGGCCATTATTATGGTTTTCACCCTCTGATAATTCTAAATTTGCGTATTTTCCCTCGGGTTTTTACTTGATATGTATTATGCCCTCTGGTTACCATATGATTGGTATATATTTATGTAAATGCAAATCCATTATTACGTAACAAACCAAGAGCAAAGGGGACAAAAAAAGGAACATGAGAGTGAAACACTGAAACTGTAAATATAGTTTAGCCAGTACAAAACAAACGAGATGTATACGCTAATATGGAGCAGTTAGATGTTGAAACGACTATTCAGAAGGAAAAACAATTATTATTATGAAAATCAATCTCTCCTCCATTGTAAGTTTTTATATATGGATAAAATCTTTCTATTTCATCGCTTTTTCATATTAACAGAATTGAGAACAAAATTTATAAAGAACAGCCGAGTTAATATATTTCTAATTAACGTTGCCGAATTCAATTTAACTCGGTTCAAGACGTATCCAAACTTCGAAAGGAAAATCACAAAAATTATAACAAGCAGCTTGACTATATGAAATAAGCTTAATGCGATTACAAAAAATAATGGCAAAAAAAAACAAACTATTTAGAAAGAGATATCACATTTGTAAATATGCTCTCCAAAACTTCACCAATACAAACCACAATCAATGGACTTTATATCTCTTCAAGATCGCAAACAAACAAAAACACACCGACTTGGTGAAGAAATCAATATTCCAAATAAGAAAATGGCAGTTAATGGAAGAGTGATTATAATATCAATGGCAATGGTGGGCTATGGTAAAAACATTGGTTGAAGGAGTCACCGAGTCAGTCCTGAAGAGTTAAAGAGTTGCATCGAGAGTTGTATACCGATTACGATTACCGGATAAATACATGCATCCTGCATGAGGCTAATGATCTGACCATGTGCGAGAAAGCATGTCGCAAGTATTGCTTTCAAATCGTTCGTAAAGCTCCTAGTGGTGGGTTTGTGGAATTAAAGGATTTTCTGCAAGTTCTGGTGTAAGCCCTAATTAATGATCTCAACATCATTAATAATTTCTATAAATATCTATTTTTTTCTTTTTGTTTGTAATTCAGTGTGTTGGCAATTAGTAAGTTAGTATTATGTTTTTTTTTTTTTTTATCTACATCACTGCCAACGTTTGGCAAACTACATAAAAATGATGTAAAATAATAATAATTATATACTCATGTCTTTGGCTGTATGCATGCAGGACAAAAACATTTCTGGAATTCTTAACCGGAATTTAGAAATAAACCAAATGACCGGAATCTCAATTAACCTCCCCTACTGATTCTTGATGAAGCATGAATAATATCCTCAGTATTGTGTTTCGGTGTTTCCTAATATTGTTCCAAATATTTAGGTATCCGTCGTTTCTAGTTAATAAATGTGCCCTCCCCACTGATAAGAGGGTCTAAAGCTAATTACCAGAAATTTGGGTGAATATGCTAAAACGTAAACAATAAAGGGGGGATAAGTGAAAATAATCCCTCAAGTAAATCACCTACTTTAATTAAAAATATAGTGTAGCTCAATAGCCGTCCGATGAAATTCTAAACACACGTGTTACACGATGAAGCAACCGAGTCAAGCTCTGTATAAAATAGTAGATGCCAAACAAAAAAAAAGAGGAGAAAATTTAGAAAGAAAGCAAATTGGAAAAGGCGAGAAAGTGAGAAAGAGAGAAAAAAGAAAACATTAAATAAAAGGAAAGAAAAAGAAAAGAGGGAAGACAAAAGGAAAGGCAATAACAAGTCGGCGTAATCCGCCGACCAATCATCACGGTCGTTTTCTCTCTTGCCCAACCAATAATATATACATTTTTTTTAAAAAAATTCTTCTTCATCTAATAAGATCCAGGATCTCGTTTTCTTCTTCTTCTCATCGTCGCGATTTCTACTGTCTTTTTTTTTTCTTCTTTTTCTTTGATTTGTTTTCATATTAGGTGGTTGGATTTTTTTTTTTTCCATTTATGTTCTTCCGTTTTGTTTTTTAAATCTGATCGGAAGATACCCTGGATTTTAGCTTCTAGATTTGTACGTAGAAATCAATTGGAGTTAGTAAGTGTTTTACTTTAATCAATGAAGAGTGCTTCGCCGGAGCAATCATCAGTTAAAGCTGGTGAAAGAATCGAAAACGGCGACAAGGATAAGAAGAAGAAGCGCAGAACTAGTCGTCGATCCAAGAACAGCTCAGGTAAATAATTTTTGAATTTTGTTTGCGAATCGATTTCCTAATGTACGTTGCGTTTTTCTTTTTCTTTTATGGATTAGTTTGATTGAATAGTTAGTTAGGATTTGAACTTAGTTCTGAAACTGATTAGGTCCTTAGATTTGCTTCGGTTTTAGTATCTATCGTTTTATTGGTAATTCTGAGGTGTTTTTTAGTTTGAATCGATTGAATATTAGCTACTTAGCTTTTGAGTCGGATAAATGTTAGTTGCCTTACACAACAACCTTAATGTCTGGGAACACAGTAGGTTGTGCAATAGAAGACATCAATTTAGAAGCATCGGATGGACGAACCAGTTTGAGTAAAGCAAAAGATTGTGCTTCTTCTTCACTTTGTACTAAGCAGAGATCAGGCTTGGATGATTCCAGTGAATTAACGAGAGCGTCTAATGTTGCTTTCAATTCTATGCCGCCTTTGCGTTTCGAGGGTGGTGTCCCGAGAGCTCTGGAAGTCCCCTGGTCCGTTCTGCTGAAATTAGTAAACAGTTGTTGTCCAAGTCGTGTCCTGATCCTAGGGATTGTGAGCAGTCTCCTAGAATGGATGGTGACTTGTTCCACCAAATTGAAGGTTCCTCGCAGCGAAAGATTTTCCCTTCACACTGGTCTCTCGATGCTGTGAAAGAGGCTTTAGAGGTTTGTCTGAGATGTTCTCTTTATTATTTTTCTCATGTTTTCTTCAAAACAAAAATGGTTTAAGTAATAGTTGTCTTCTCCTGTATGCATCTCTGTAGAAGGGTGAAGCTTTTAAGGCACTATTTCGGGTGAATGCTCATAACCGCAATGAGGTTAGAAGTAACATCTCATTTTCCAAGAGACTTAAAAGTTCTTAACCGTCTGTTTCTTCTATTCACTTTGAATTCGTTTTTTCCTTTGAAGGCTTACTGTAAGATCGATGGAGTCCCTACAGATATTCTAATCAGTGGAAACGTTGGCCAAAATAGAGCAGTAAGTTTGGATCATCAACCTTCCTGACTTGTGTTTTTTGGCAGAGAGGTTTTATTTAATTCAAGTTCATACTTGTGTTTCTGTATATAGGTGGAAGGAGATACTGTTGCTATTAAACTGGATCCGCTCTCACTGTGGCCTAGGATGAAAGGATTTGTTACAGAAAATGTTGCAAAGTCTGAAGAAACGAGCAGTCCCCCAGATAAAGATGAGCATGTCCGCCATTTAGGAAGGGACGAGATAAATGCTCAAGTGAAAAATTCTGTTGGTGTGGTGGAAGGTTTTGAAGATGGGTATTCGACAAACAAATCTTCAGTTATAGGACACGGGGTTAAGAACTGTGTTAGTCGCGGTTTTACTCCATTACTGGATTCATGTTTGGGCTCTTTTAGTGAGCAGAAAGGAGTTGGCAGTGCGGCGGAGAAGCTATGCGCTATCATTAGTTCTTTCCCCAACAAACGACCAACTGGACAAGTAGTTGCTGTCGTTGAAAAATCACTTGTAAGAAATTCTATTGTTGGTTTGCTGGATGTGAAGGGATGGATTCATTACAAGGAAGGTAATGAAAAAACGAGCAAGTCTCCTTTGTCTCTTTCTGATGATGAATACGTCCAACTGATGCCTGCAGACCCTAAGTTCCCAAAATTGATTGTTCCCTTCCATGTCTTACCTGGAAGCATTAGAGCAAGACTTGAGAGTATGGATCCGACTCTCGAGGCAGAGCTGGTAGCTGCCCAAATTGTGGACTGGGGCGAAGGGAGTCCATTTCCCCGAGCCCAGATTACACATATGTTTGGCCGAGGCAGTGAATTGGAACCCCAGATCAATGCGATATTATATCAGAATTCGGTTTGCGATTCTGAATTTTCTCCTGGCTCTCTTGCTAGCCTTCCACGTGCTCCTTGGGAAATCCCAGAAGAAGAGGTTCAACGCAGAAAAGATCTGAGAGACCTGTGTGTATTCACCATCGACCCCTCGACGGCTACAGACCTCGATGACGCTCTATCAGTACAAAGTTTACCCGGCGGTTTTTTTAGAGTCGGTGTTCACATTGCTGATGTCTCCTACTTTGTTTTACCAGACACTACTCTTGACACAGAAGCTCAGTTTAGGTCGACAAGTGTTTACATGCTGCGGAGAAAAGTACCAATGTTGCCTCCATTATTATCGGAGAACGTTGGTTCACTTAACCCAGGAGCTGCTAGGCTTGCTTTTTCTATCTTCTGGGATTTAAATAGAGAAGGAGATGTGACAGATCGCTGGATTGGTCGTACTGTTATACGGTCGTGCTGCAAGCTTTCGTATGACCATGCTCAAGACATTATAGATGGGATGAATGACGTTGCAGCGAATGCCTGGCCTGCTTTGTACGGACCTTTCGAGTGGAGTGATGTAATTCGATCTGTCCAACAGCTTAGTGAGATTTCCACCACTTTAAGGCAAAAAAGGTTTAGAAATGGGGCGTTGCAGCTGCAGAATTCCAAACCCGTTTTTCTCTTCGATGAACATGGAGTTCCGTATGATTTTGTGGTGTGCAGTAGAAAGCCTTCAAATCTCCTTGTTGAGGAGTTTATGCTTTTAGCAAATATGACAGCGGCTGAGGTGATTTCTCGAGCTTACCCTCACAGTGCATTGCTCCGGAGGCATCCAGAACCTAATATGCGTAAGCTCAAAGAATTTGAAGGCTTTTGTTCAAAGCATGGTATGGAGTTGGACGTTTCTTCTTCTGGCCAATTCCAGGTGTCATTGGCGAAAATCACAGAAAACCTCAAGGATGACTCAGTTTTTGTAGACATTCTCAACAATTATGCTATAAAACCAATGCAATTTGCATCTTACTTCTGCACTGGGAACTTGAAGGAGGATGTTGCTGAGTGGGGACACTATGCACTTGCTGTTCCTCTCTATACTCACTTTACATCTCCTCTTCGACGATATCCCGACATAGTTGTTCATCGTGCGGTTGCGGCTGCTCTTGAAGCTGAGGAGTTGTTCTCAAAGCTGAAGCAAAAATCAGGTGGTGAATTGAGAAGCTGCTTCACTGGCATTCGTTTCGATAAAGATGCTGCAGAATCTATGGAGGGCAAGGAAGCATTATCAGTCGCTGGTTTGAAACATGGTGTTCCCTCCACTGAAATACTCTCTGATATCGCTGCTTATTGCAATGAGAGGAAGCTGGCGGCTCGAAAAGTCAAAGATGCATGTGATAAGCTTTACACTTGGTGTGTGTTGAAGAGAAAAAAGGCAAGTAAATTAGAAACTTTTGCATCACATAGGGTTGTTTTTTATGTTTATGGTTGTTAAGAAATCTCATTTATTTCCTCCTCTGCAGGTTTTTCCGTGTGAAGCTAGAGTAATGAACTTGGGATCAAGATTTATGACTATTTACATTGGCAAGCTTGGCGTAAGTCTCTGCTGATTCATTTGCCATATTTCAAATTATCTTGATCGTTATTTTTACAAATCAATGTAACTCTTCTTAACCATCGATGCTGTTACAGATTGAACGGAGAATATACTATGACCAGATTGAAGGCTTGTGTGCAGAATGGCTAGAGGCAACATCAACCTTAATCCTTGATAAACTCTATTCCAAAAGAGGTGGAAGAGGCTATTTCAAGCCCTTGAAAGAGGTTGCTTATTTGGTGAGTCCTTGTGACCTATGTGTTGCCAAATACAATGCACTGTCTGTCAATGACACCGAGCGAGAAGACGAGATTGCCCCTGCGGTATTTCCTTTGACCATCCAGCTTTTCTCGACCGTTCCTGTGGTTCTTCACGCTGTTGGTGGCGATGACGGTCCGCTAGATATAGGAGCGAGACTCTACATGACTTCATATTATTGATGATTGGAGCAAAGAGATCTCTGAAGATGCAGATTATAGCAACTGTTGTATATTTTTTTTTTTTTTCACATTACAGTTGCTGAAAAAGCAATCATGTCGGACGAGAATACAGCTCCGTAGTTGGATGATATAGACTAGACACAAAGAGACCAAATGTGGAGACTTGCCGTTGTTTTTGGTTCGGTTTGGATCCACATTGGTTTGAAGTTGTGTTAAAAATGTGTTTCTATTTTTTTTTGTTTTCATGGATTTCGCTTTCCCAATATGTTTTAGTTTTGGGTTAGCTGAAGAAATCATCAAAAGCTTTCTTGTTTGGTGACTTGCCGTTGTTTTTGGTTCGGTTGGGATCCACATTGGTTTGGTGAACTTTGCCACTAGCGACTCTCGTCCAACATGTCTTTATTTAAACTGATTCCTTGTTTTTTCTTCTTGTTCTTTGTTAGAAGATTTGTACCCCAAAAAAACATACATACACAAAATTAAAATTTGGCGGGGTCATCTAAGGCGGCTAGGCCCACAAATCATACTGTAAAAGCCCACTGACGTCAACAAAAAAGCTTGCGACTTTGGGAAAAGCTTGTTATTTATTTATTTTTTTTGTCAAAAAGGGTTGCAACTTGCGACTTTGGGAAAATTCCTGAAATTCGAGCGAATCAAAAGCCCTAAAAAGCTTAGGGAATTTCTGGTAATGCGGAGTCAATGTACCTGGACACACATGGTGTGATGCTCAGACAATTTAGCTTCAGATCCTCTCTTCTCCCATTTTCTTCTCATTCCCAACGAAGCTTTCTGAAGTCAGCATCCTCGACCCACCCTCGAATCGGAGCCACCATGGCCACAATTTCGACCCAGAACGAGTCGACTCAGAAACCCGTTCAGGTGATCTTTTCTCTTCATTTTCTCCATTCCGTGGGGTCTCTATCTCTTCTTATTGGGTAAATTAGTGTCTTTGCTAATCAAATGATGAAAAGGGATTGCTTCGATTCTCGCGTTTGGAATTTGGGAGATTTTAGTTTTGAATTTGGCACTGCTTTTGCAACATTGGAAGCTGCTGTTCTGTCAATTTGATGTTTTTTTGTTTTGATTTTCCTCTGTCCAAAATTATGTCAAAATTGGATTTTTCCGATCTGGATTCCACTTAGTTCATGCGGTACGGTCCCACGATACCTTTACAGATTACACTATGCCCATCAATCCAAAATTTCTTCCTGAAGCTTTTTAGCTCGTTTTCTTAAATAAGCTTAGTTATATCGGTTTTGCTTTATTGCCAGTTTTCCTGTAGACTTTCACTTGTAGGCAGAGTTGAAACCCCAAGAACTGATGAACTGATTTATCTATACATTTTGAACATTTTGAAATCTCATCTCTTAGGTGGCTAAGCGGTTAGAAAAGTTCAAGACTACGATTTTCACTCAAATGAGCACATTAGCTGTCAAACACGGAGCAATCAACTTAGGCCAAGGCTTCCCCAATTTCGACGGTCCTGATTTTGTCAAAGAAGCTGCTATCCAAGCCATTAGAGACGGTAAAAACCAGTATGCTCGTGGCCACGGCCTTCCCCAGCTCAATTCTGCTGTAGCTGCGCGGTTTCGTGAAGATACAGGTCTCGTTGTTGATCCGGAGAAAGAAGTCACTGTTACCTCTGGCTGCACAGAAGCCATAGCTGCAACTATGTTGGGTTTAATCAACCCTGGTGATGAAGTCATTCTCTTTGCACCCTTTTATGATTCATATGAAGCAACGCTCTCTATGGCTGGTGCTAAAGTAAAAGGAATCACTTTACGCCCACCAGACTTCTCAGTCCCTTTGGAAGAGCTGAAAGCTGCGGTATCTAACAAGACCAGAGCCATTCTCTTGAACACTCCACACAACCCAACCGGGAAAATGTTCACAAGAGAGGAGCTCGAAACCATTGCATCTCTCTGCATTGAAAATGACGTCCTTGTGTTCTCGGATGAAGTATACGATAAGCTTGCTTTTGAGATGGATCACATCTCCATAGCTTCTCTTCCCGGTATGTACGAAAGAACCGTGACCATGAATTCTCTTGGAAAGACTTTCTCTTTAACCGGATGGAAGATCGGTTGGGCCATTGCACCAACTCATCTAACTTGGGGAATTCGACAAGCTCACTCTTACCTCACATTCGCCACATCAACACCGATGCAATCCGCAGCCATTGCAGCTCTCAAGGCACCAGAGTCTTACTTCAAAGAGCTGAAAAGAGACTACAATGCGAAGAAGGAGATTCTGGTTAAGGGTTTGAAGGAAGTCGGGTTTGAAGTGTTCCCATCGAGCGGGACTTACTTTGTGGTCGTGGATCACACGCCATTTGGTTTGGAGAATGATGTCGCTTTCTGTGAGTATCTTATCAAAGAAGTTGGGGTCGTTGCGATCCCCACGAGCGTCTTTTATTTGAATCCGGAAGAAGGGAAGAATTTGGTTAGGTTTACGTTCTGTAAAGACGAAGAGACGTTGCGTAGTGCAGTTGAGAGGATGAAGCTCAAGCTCAAGAGAATAGTCTGAAGTTTGATACTTTGACTCTGAAGATCTTCATTTAAAAAAAACAAAAAAAAAAGCTTATTTGAATATGTTGTTGTGTTGTTTGTTCTTCTTCGGTTTCCATTTGAGGAGAGATTTTGATTCAGTAAAGGAAGCTAATAAAGTAAGTTCACGTTATTAAATGAGTAGAGTAAGTAGTTCAAACAATTAAAAAAATTAAGTAGGTAGACAACTTGTTATCGTAAGTCGTAGATTGGTTAATTAATAAATTAAGGTTGAATATTCTCTGCAAAACTGAAAATGATGTGATTATTGTATTTTTGGGTCGGATTATCTTTCCTATGCCGAAAGTTTAAAAGTAATTGAATGCATCAGAGAACTTAAGACTTTTAGATCTCAGTGAAAGGCTTAATAAATCAAATACTAAAAAAACATTTCATCAATGTCATTAGCTTAAGATTGTCGCTTTCTTCTTTTTGATAAAAACTTTAAGAAATATAATTTGACTATCTTACTCTGATCCAACGGCTATTATGTAACTATCTCTAATTCCGAATCTCATTATCGCCAGGTACCGAGATGACTAATGTTTTCCCCTTTGATGTTTTCAGAGATAAACTTGTAAAACTGGAACGTAAATGAACTATTTCTCTAGTAGAGATCATATGAATATAATTATTTGCTTGTAATCACATGCGAATTTTTAAAAGATATAAGAAAAACATCATAGGCCTACTATTGCGGAATGCACCATGCGACTATGCGAGGATGTTTGGTAAATGTTTTGTTTTCATTCACAATTTGATCCAAACCCATTTTTTCTTGTTTCTTCTCTTTATTGGTATATCAATTTCCTTATCAAGTAATTCATCTCGACCGTCCGATTTGGTAGATTACCAACACTTTACAGTTTTCACCAACTATACCCAATATGAATCGTTGATTCATTTTAGTCTATGGTATCGTACACTTTCAGACATATATAAAATAAAGTAGACTTACCACGAATATAGACTAAAGTTTATAAACATTTCTGTTCAAGTCCAAATCAACTGTTATTGATTAATATAGAAAATTCCCCCCCCCCCCCCCAAAAGCAGAGATATTTCAACAAAATTTAAGTTTTAAAAATAAAAAGTTAAATTAAGTTTTTTTAATTTAATTAATAGATGTGTGTGTAGCGGCACGTGCCGGCCTGCAACAGTAAAGCTAAAAAGCGTCCGCCTCCTAATATTCCCGTCAAGACCGGGACTTCTTCTTCTCTTACTCTGATCCAACGGCTACGGTTCTTTGCTTTCGCTAATCAACCGTCAGATTGAATCTAACGGTAGGTATTGAATCTAACTCCATCTCTTCTTGACTTCTTAAAATAAGCCCAAACTCGCTCCAAAGCCTTCTCTCTCTCTCTCGATCTCTCTGAAGCCAAGTGAGCTTCTTCTTCTTCTTCCTTTCGGCTTCGCCATGAATATTCTCCGGTACCGTAAAACTTTGAACAAGATTTTCTGGAGTTAGAGATCTCTCGCCTGCTTCTCCGTCAGCTATGCTCAGCACGGTGGTGCAGTGGTGGTTAACGTTTTTCCGTCTGAGATTTGGGCGGAGAAATCGAGAAAGAAAGTGGTGATCACTCTGATTAGGCTCTTCGCCGAGATCGAAGATTTTGAGATTTTTTGTTTTTTTTTTAGGTTAAGTTTGCAATTTTTTTTAACGCGAGATTATCGGAGCGAGGGGGAGAGATGAGCCAAGCGAAACTGACGAGGACTCAATCGTCGTTGCTCAGATCATCTCCGACGATAAGATCATCGATTCACAGCCTTTCTTCAATCACAGAATGTGACTTCGACGATATCTCTCACCACCGCGAACATGATTTGGAATCCGGCGAGAAAGAGGAGAAGCAGAGGAGAAGAAAACCGCCTAAATCATTCGGGTCAATTATTCGAACCGGGTCGACCCGAATAAAACCGGGTCTCACCTTCACACTCGCTTCCCTCTCCTTCCTCAGCCTCTCGTCTTTCTTAATATTCTTCGTCTTCTCTCAAACCGATGCGATTCTCACGTCGGAGAATCTTCTACTTGGTTTGATCTTCGTCGCCGTCTCTCTGTTCTTCGCATCGCGAAACATGGCGGTTATCAACAAAGCAGTATTCGCAATCAAAGAAACCAGGAAAAAGCTAAGATTCCGAATCAAACACAAACCGAAACCGGTTCAATGGTACATCGGCGACTCGAATCCGGAATCGATCGAAAACCAGAGAGAAGAAGAAGAAGAAGAAAAGAGACTGGTCGTCAAAGAAGGAGTCCAGTTCTTCAGCAATGGAGATTTCTACGAAGGGGAATTTCACAGAGGAAGATGCAATGGAAGTGGAGTTTACTACTATTTCGTTAACGGAAGATACGAAGGAGACTGGATTAATGGAAGATACGATGGCTATGGAATCGAGTGTTGGTCTAAAGGAAGTAAGTATAAAGGACAGTACAAGCAAGGACTGAGACATGGTTATGGAGTTTACTGGTTTTACACCGGAGATTCTTACTCCGGCGAATGGTTCAACGGTCAAAGCCATGGCTATGGTGTTCAAACCTGTGCTGATGGAAGCTCTTATGTTGGAGAATTCAAATTTGGTGTCAAACATGGACTTGGATCTTACCATTTCAGGTTAACAAAAAAAAAAAAATTATTCTTTTTTACGTATACAGATGTCTCTGTTTAATTTTCTGAGCTCTGGTTTTTGAGTTTTTTTTTTTTGTTTGTTGATGTTGTAGAAATGGAGATAAGTACGCAGGAGAGTATTTTGGAGATAAGATCCATGGATTCGGTGTTTACCATTTCGCTAATGGTCACTATTACGAAGGAGCTTGGCACGAAGGTCGTAAGCAAGGCTATGGCACGTATAGATTCAGGACCGGTGATACCAAATGCGGTGAATGGGATGATGGTAGTCTCGTAATCCGGCTTCCTCCAGAAACCGGCCCGGTACATAGAGCGGTTCAGGTATATAATAATACCAAAAGGATTAAACTTTTTGTTTTTTTTTTCAATTAACAAATGCCGGACTTTAGTTAAAGACTGAAACTTGGAAAAGTCACACATTGTTTTGATTCAAAGATACTTAAATCGTTTAACTTGGTACTTAATTGCAGAGTGCTCGAGATATGGCGAAAAAAAGTGTAAATCAGAGACGGGTCGATGAACAGGTGATGCGAGCGGTGGTTGCGGCTAACAAGGCTGCGACGGCTGCGAGAGTTGCAGCTGTGAAAGCCGTTCAAAATCAGATGGATGGTAAACTTTGTGAAAATTGAAAATGATTAGTAAAGATGACATTAACAAAGAAGTCAAGTTTTTTTTTTTTTCTTTTTGTCTTTTTATTGTAGCCCTGGTGAGCTTGAAATTATAAGAAAGCTTTACCATGGAGGTTTTTTTGTTTTTCTTTCTTGAACTAAGAATGTAAATGTATATAGAAGAAGTCATGTTTTGTTCTTCCTTTTTGTACAAAATTTAGGTGGATGATTGATTGATGTTTTGATATTGATCCGAATCACTGACAAGATATATTTTTCTAGTTTTGATTAAACGTTATCCTCAAATCGGAATCTGTGTTCCGTTTCGTACTTGATTTGATTTCCTTTTTCTAAAAAAAAATGCAGATTTTAGTATTATTATTACTATGACTTTTTAAAAAAGAGAAGAAAACAATGAAGAAGATTCTTCGTACCCAAGACTTGTCAACGTAAGCTATATGGTAGCCATTTCAAGTAAAAAAAGAAGAAGTAAAAACCAATGGATCGCTATGGCCTGCAACTGAAGTGGTCTGACCAAATTAGTTGCAACAATTCAAAACTTCTCGGAAACTCTCTTCATATTATGCATTATTAGGTGAACGCATTAAATTATTTTATAGGTACTATAAGAATCACTAGTTTTTTTTTTTAAATAGTTACATATATAAATCGTACCTGATCATGATTCTGTGATTGAACAACGGAATAAATAGGTTAGTAATTTTAAGAAAAAAAAAAAAGACATTCTTGAGTGTACGAGCCAGTTCAGTTCAATCTCAATGCGTCATCTTATGTACTCCATTGATTTTTCTGTTAAAGCAAGATTGAATTATATATATATATATATATATATATATAGGTGGATAGCTAAGCATCATCTCGAGTCATTCATTCTTTCAAGTTATATCTAATCACATTTATGGATATGAATAACAGAATGAAGTTTAAAACAAGCTTTTATCAGCCTTGTCATCATAACATCAACATTAAATTTTAAACTTTGATTACGGCAAAAACACGTCCAAAGCATGCCTCGTACGTTAATAAATGGTAGAAGAAGTCATGCATGTGTCCTCATCATAACTATCTCTCGAGGATGTTATTCTTAATTTTTGCTTTTATATACATCTTTATCCTTTTTATTTGGTTTTATAATTATATATCCTTCTTTACCAAAAAAGTAATTATTATATATCCGTATCTTCTCTTATCTAGATATAGATATACGTACATTCTTTTGAATAATTTTTATATGTTTGCAATGGCATGTTCTAGTGATAAAATATTCATCTATATCAAACATGTTAGTGTGCCATTTATGTTATTAATACATCTATCCATTTAAAATAATACTGTATTTACGTGATAGACTGATAGTTATTATGTTAAGAAACTTTGAGACTATAATTGTCGGAATAAGAAAATCGTTAACACTAATCTACATTCTAACACCTAGCCATGCTTGAGTTAGAAATGAATCATATTTTAGCCTCAATTCTTTAGCAGCAGGCCTGTACATCTATATCATTTGTCTTGATTCCTTGATTCATTTGGGCTGATTCATATCATGGCTACGTCTTAAATTGAATATTTATATATTATTGTAAATCGAATAATCGGTACCCTACGGGAGGTAACTGAGGTCATTGTAGATTTGCTTACGGAGTTTGACCCAAATGTTTGCATATTCAAACTTTGAAGTCTTTAACCACTTAGCATGCATAATTCCTCTAAGAAAAAAGCAGTCGGTCCAATTTTCCAGCTCCATAAACAGAAAATGTACTGTGCCCAATAAATGAAAACCAATTGGCATTAAATATTTCCATATACATGGCTATGAGTAAAAAGCATTTATTGAAATTATTGATATATTTAATCACTCACGACATGTAATTTAATTCTTTGATTGGTCAACTACAGATTAAGGCTGCCATGCTATTCGATATAAGACATATACGGACAGCCAATAATTCGTATCATTGCATGTAAACCATTTATTAGATGATTGATTATTACAGTTACACCCTTTCCATCTGTTTCAGAAAAAACAGTATCGTCGTAGTATCGTAGAGTTATTTTTTAAAAAAAAAAAATCGTATTTTTTCAATATCGAGGATTAAAGAAAAATTCAATATCAAATTTTCAATCTAAATAATAAAATTATCCTTTATCTAAAATTAACAATTGTATATTCAATTCTATTTTAAGTTAATCATGAATATAGTAAATCTATGTCTATTTATATAATTTAAAGTTTTTAATATATATAATTTACTGAAATAATTTGAAAGGAAAAAGTTATAAATAATTAAGAATATTTGTGAACAAAAAAATACTTATTTCCGTAGTATTAATGTACATTAGTTTAGTATGGAGTGGTCTAGTTTTTATGTAAATTTTTGGCATATGATACAGCTATTTCCCAATTTTACATATTTTATGTAATAACTCAATTCACAAAGCTAGCTGATTATACATTAAAGACTTCTTCATTTGTGTGAAATCTCTACAAAATTATTCATCAAAAACATATGAAGTTTCTAGATTTATATTGAAAATCTTAAACAACACTTTAAATTGTAATGAAATTCTTAAATAACACTTAATTTAAAACGGGAAAAAATTAATCATTGTTTTTTTTTTGTTACTTTCTTGAGATTTCATCATTCCATGTGACATGCATGTCTATTGCCTCGTTTACTACAAAGTTTGTTACATTCAAAGACTGAAGGTATCACACTAATAATTTTTATGGCGCTTCTTAAAAATACTAAACTCACGTATTAATATAAAATTAGTTAAGGGAGTGATCAAAGTGTTTGTCCAATGGGTTCATATTGGTCAAATAACTTTCCACGCGACACTCCGCATTCAGTGATGTACGCTAATACGAGGGGAAAAGGCCGTACCTCAACACCACCAGTACCAATAAATACCCAAATAATTTTGATAGGTTAATTAGTACCTGAACTTATTAAAATCGGTAAATACATACTTCAATAATGTTTTTTGGCCAATTAGTACATTGATTTTCTCTCTATTAATCAAACCCGTTAATTTGCAAACGGAATCCGACTCAGATGCCACGGTGGCAGTGCCGTGCTTAAACTCATCGAAGCTTTAGGCGAATCGGAAAAATGTAGCTTTTTTTTATAAATAATAAAATATAATATTATCATTAAACACACAATAATATTATTTTAGTATATTTTGTATTTTTCATATCATACATTATTATAACATTTGTTAACATATGTGGATCCATATTTATAAAAATGAAAAATATCATGAACAATACTATTATTATAGGGTTTTCAAAAGAATATCCTAACCATTTTTACCAAATTATATATTGGTAATTGTCTAATTTTTAACACTATAGGTACGGTTCTGCACAGTGGATACTGGTGTTCGAATAAAATCAATACGACATCATTTAAAGTTAAAAATCAGGGAAAAAAAGACAAAACGACGTCGTTTTAAATTTAGATATATTAAATAAATGCCGCATCTATATCTTCTTTCGTGGGAGAAAAAACATCGATAGTTAGGATTTAGATGGTGTTCAAAATCAAATCGGAATGACTTCATCGTCGAATGCTAACGCTTTTTCGGAGATTCATGGTAGGTTTAGGTTTGCAATTTTGGTTTTGATTTTGTTTCAAACACTTTTGGAAAATCAAATCGAAATTTTCAATTTTGATTTTTTTAATGTATAATAAATTTAAAACGACGTCGTTTTTGTCTTTTTCCCCCTGATTTTTAACTTTAAATGATGTTGTATTGGTTTCATTCGAACACAGTATCCACCGTGGCATCTGAGTCGGATTCCATTTGCAAACTAACGGGTTTGACTAACAGAGAGAAAGTCAATGTACTAATTGGCCAAAAAACATTATTGAGGTATGTATTTATCGATTTTAATAAGTTCAGGTACTGATTAGTCTATCAAAATTGTTTGGGTATTTATTGGTTACAGATGATAGTGTTGAGGTACTAATCGGCCTTTTTCCCCTAATACGAGTATAAGTTTATTCGTAAACATGATCAATTCACAACTTCGATACAAAAAAATCCTTTAACAAAAAAACAAATTCGATACAAAAACTTCCTTTAACAAAAAAACAACTTCGATACAAAAACAAACAATTGGTTTAATCTTTATTAAAAGAGAGATTATTTTTAAATTTAAAAACAAATTCAGATATATTCCATACTGTGGTGACATTCACTTATAACGTTTCGACATTCTTTATATCACTTACAACGTTTCGACACTCAAAATAACATTATTTATGCAGAAATCATCTATCCTCAAACAAATTAATTCATTTAACCTTTTTTTTTCTCTTTATGGATGATACATATACCACGACGAGATAAATAAACAACAACAACGAATTTCTCAATCATTCAACTATTATGTTGTCAGAAACATTTTTTGGTCAGTGAATATTGAATTCTATAATGCAGTTAAACTTTTAATATGTACAGTAAAGAGAACGATAAGTTTTTATACTCAATTAATCTAGAAGTTTAGCACAATATTATCTAACAATTAACCTCTTCAAATTACCAATCAAACAGGAGGAGACAAATGGTAACCTCTCGAAACTCATGCAGTCATGCTCTCTTTCTTCCTTTAGTTTATTTGATCATTAATATTTCAAGTGGATTGCTACAAAACATGCAAAGCAGACAACATAATTACAAGTTGCATTATCAACACTAAAACTAAAAAAAAAAAGCAAACTGACTTTTCATTTGTTGTCATTCTCGAGTTTGGCATTTACCAGTTACCACCTTTTGGTGGACCATTTCATTTCTCAGTCGGCCCGCTCCTCTCTTCCAGCAAATGTTTTTTGTTGAGTATTTATTTATTTCTGCTGACGAAAGATTTAATTATTTATTTTAGTTATAAATATATATATATATATATATATATATATATATAATGTTCTTGATTGTTTTGGATTTGAAATCTAACGAAGACTCCCATGTTTCATGATTTCAGCAAACAACTCAATTAAAGAAAATTTGGTTTCAGAAGAAGCATCCGTTTCAGAAGTGACCAACACTAGTGACAATATTGTAAGAGCAGCTTCATCAGGGCTTTTTACCCATTTTTCAGCACAGTTTCATAGACAAATCAATTAAATTTAAATGAAAAATCCAACATTTTTGACGGACTGCTCCTTAGATAAGGAGCAGAGGAGACGGTCTCGTCGATGACGTGGAAGAACGTCATTGATTCGTTCTTTTTTATGTTTTATTTGTTAAAGATATTTTTTTAGTTAGGAAAATTATTTCCTCATTCTCGACCAAAAACCCGACTCTCTCTATCTCTTTTTCTCTCGTTTGTAACGATGACTTTTCTTTTGGCCGATGATTTTCTCTCCTACGTCGACTTCTGGTAATTTATCTTCATCTACTTGATCGAAATTCCCAATCTCTTCTTTTGCAAATTTTATTTTTTATTGTTTTGTTGGGTTCAATTTCAATCCCATCCTGATGCGTTTTCTATTAAACCCAAGGATTAAAGATCTCAGCAATGGCGGTGACAAGTGAGAAACAGAATTGCGAAGCAGTGGTTCATTGTTTTCTATTAAACCCAGGGATTAAGCCATTGTTTATTATGATCTGCGAAGCAGTGGTTCATCGATCATTTTTGTCTACTCTGTGTTTTTTTGCTTGAGTTACACTAATGGAGGAGATAAATAAAAGAGTCTCTTAACTATTCTCATCTTCCAAAAAAAAATATTAATTAAATCCTAGAAAACCCAAAATGGGTTACACTAGTGGAGATGCTCTAAGCCTCCTCTTTCTTTTTCGCGTTTTGGTGAGGAAATTTTTTTATAATAGAAAATTCTTTCTTTTGGTCTAATGTCAACATGCCCAATGAGGCAATGATCATCATAATCAGAAATCAGAATGCTATTGATTGTCGCTTAATATATGTTTATATAACCTCGTACAAAATAATTTAACTAGATTTTTTTATTTTATTCTTCTAATATATAATATCCTCAATAATCATAATACTAATCAGAAAATCGAAAGCTATTGCTTGATTTAAAGCTGAAGTTCTTGCTCCATTTTCATGGATTTAGAAGATTCAGAGGCAGATAATTTCTTAGGAACATGATGCGGACATTGTATATATATGTTGTTTTAAGTTTAAGCTTTTTAACATTGTTGTTATAAGTTTTAAACTTTTTGGGTTGTTCTCTTCTTTTTTTGTTAAAAGTTTTTTTTTTGTTCATAACAAAAGAAAAAGACTTTAGAAATTATAATTCTACATACTTAACTATTTTATCTATATAAATAATCTGGCATAATTTATCTCTAGGAAAATTTTGAAAAAAAAAAATACATATCTTTCATACAAGAAAAAATTAAATATAAGGTTGGTCTATAGAGATTTCTTATAGGAGATACCAAGCCCAAGCCCAAGCCCGTAAGAATAGTATGTTTATATTGTCAAAAACCAATCATGTCCAAATCACAAAACCAAGACATTCTTAGCTATGATCAGATTATTCAGATCCATGGCGTTTCCACTAAGATTCTCAAGTCTCAAGTCTTCAAAGGATGTTTTCGAATTCTTCCACTAAGATTCTCAAGTCTTCACTAAATGTTTTCGAATTCTTGGACGAATCTCTTTGATTTCAAAGTGTTTACGAGATTCTCACCAAAAGACAAAAATCGCCACATAGACATGCTCCGCTCCTATAATGGTAGAATCTCATATTATCCCTCATTATAATCACCTCCCTGTAACTTCCGACGCCAAACGCATGAATGTGTGACAAAATGTTAACAAGATTGGTTTCTAATTTTCTATATGCATCAGCTACTTTCACCAAAAAGTACTATGTAATAAGTAATATATAGGTTTTCTTTCAAATTTAATTTTGATGTAGTATATATGGAATAATTTTATTGTTGTTTCTAGTTTTAGGAATTTTAGGGCCGGATCTGGATGCGGTTCAAGAAAACAATTGAGATGGATGGTTCAATTATTCGTTTCCAATAGCACAAAAAGAAAAGAAATAAAGAAACATATTCAAAGATAGATTTCAAGTTTCAAAGATATGAACTTCGTGCATTATTTGACCTACCACGCTATGTAAGGCACATATGAATAATGGAATTATAAACTCTTATATATATAATTATTGATTCTTATATAAATATCGTATATAAATTTTTGGGCTTTAACATAGTAACATGCATGTATGTACTAAATAAAATAAAGTATGAAACATCTATTAGGGAAAACTTGTACACATAGATTTTGTTTTTCCTCATGTTGTACATACGCATTTAATGTATCATATATGTATAGCTGTTTTATATAGACTCTAGTGATTGAGAGCTTTCATATCTAAGGTATAGTCAGGTATACCGTTGTGTATCGTGAATGGTTGATTGTCATTTATACCTCTTATAGTGTTTTGGTTTTTTTGTTTACTATAGTGTTATGCTACAAGTTGAACCATAGATTACTCCATACAATTCGAAACGCTTCTTTTAATTATTAAAAAAATAGAAAAATCAGAGGTTTATGAATCGAAATCCAGACTAGTATGTGATACTATTTCTTACTTTATTTTATAATGGTTTGAGTACTATTACTTATTATAAGTTTAATAAAATAAACTGAAAAAAAATATATGAAAAAGTCAAGAAGTGACAAAAAAAGGCTTCTAGTTCATGTGATCTTCTTTTAATTAGTGTGTATATAATCTGTGTGTGTATAAATACATATTTGTCGTTAATTCGCTCCGAGCAAGTAGCAACTTGAAGAAACAACAACGAATGATAATTGTTACAAAAAAAAAAACAACGAATGATAATTGATAAATTTAAAAGAATAAATTAAATGAAATAATGTGAACCGAAAGTGTTTCGTAGTATAATATGGACCGTTCGATCAACTGAAGCTCCATAACTGAATATCAGCATCGTCGTAGAGGTCATCCAATATCGTTGTCTTCGAGCTAATCAATTGTGGAGAATAATCAAACGAAGCTCCGTTGATGAAGTACATCTCATTATCATCATACCATGATGGAAGATCCATCAAAGAAACATGTTCATCCACGAATGATCCCATTAATGACACCAAATCATCATCATTTTGGTGATCTTCTGGCGGAGAAGATGCAGCTGAAGAAGAAGGAGATGGATGGTGATGGAGATCACTATCATGCTCATCATCATCATCATTGGAGGAGGAAGGAGGGGCAATAGGGTCAGAAGAGATGGAGATAGCGGCTTGAGCGGCGATCTTTTGGATGGATTTGGGGGACAAAAGAGTCTTTTCATCGATGCCAATAAGAAAAGGAGGAGTAGTAGTGATGTAGGGGAAGTTGAGATTGGCTTTAGGGCCTTTAAGACACAAGAGAGCAGCGTCGTAAGCCCTAGCAGCTGCTTCTGCGGTTGAGTAAGAACCTAACCAGATTCTTGTCTTTTGATTTGGTGCCCTAATCTCCGAAACCCATGATCCCCAGCTTCTCATTCTCACCCCTTTGTATTTCTTTATCTTGTTCTTACAAGATTGATGATGCAATGTCAACGAGGAAGAAGAAGAGGAAGAAGAATAAGAAGAAGAAGAAGGTTGAGACAGTGACGATGAGGAAGTGGTAACTTGGAGCTTACGTTCTTGTTTCACCATTGTGTATAATACTTTTGTGTTTGATTGGAATGTTTGATACAAATTTTGATGGAAGAAAGATTATTTTGGATGAGAAATAATGTTGACGGAGAGGAGATTATATATAGCAATGGATTGATTTGATTTGGCGAGTGGGGGGCGTGGGGATAATGGTTTATTTTATAGATTAAAAATTTAGTCAATGAAATAGTATGATTTTTGATTTTTTTGTGTATGAATGTATGACGTATTTGGTGCATGACAGGTGGATATGTCAGATTTGTTTTTCTGATGTATATAATATGATTTCCATATATCCTACTACTATTTAATACAATAAATTGATTTACCGGTTAATTAATAGGAGTATGTTTTTTTAAATATGTATTTGCTTTGGAATTCGAATACTACGTTTTTTCTTTTCTTTTCCGAATACTACGTTGTTTGTTATATTTGTATAATATATATGTAAAACATTGGTGTTACCGTGTTAAGGTGAATAAACTTGAAGATCAGTAAAACACACATAGTAAATATATATATATATATATATGAATATATATATTTCTATATATCTACGATAGCATTGGTGTTACCGTGTTAAGGTGAATAAACTTGAAAGGAACTATCGGAATTAAATAACATTGTTGTCGGGGAAAAAAACGAGTGTACAGCTAGCTGTACGGAATCTACTTAATGAGGAAATCGAGAATTGCTTTTATTCGTAATAAGTTGAGGCTCAGATTTTTATCTGTAATAAGGAAATTGATTTTGGTCGAAGGAAAATGAGGTTTTAATATTGAAAATTTTGATGACTTATTGCCATCGCTTTCCAGAAATGCAAATTACAGCTGCGTTTGAATGTGTCAAATCCTACGATTTTTCGAAGAAAGTGACTCTTCAAACCTGCTCAATTCATTGGTCTATGTTTTGTTTTGTTTTTTTTTTTTTTTTTTAATTTCAAACGAATTAGTTTTACATTCTGTTATTTTACATTGTGCTTTAATCCATGGGTGGTAAAAAAATGCCGAACATAACATGCAGAAGGAATACTAATTTTATACTATATACACCAAAGTGATATGTTCGGAGAGTGTTTAACTTGCATCCCATTTCCCAAGCTACTCTTTTCTTAATACCATATTTTACTCTATAATACTATATCAATTGGATTAACTTAGCACCCAAAAAAATATCAATTAGATTGACTATAGGCTAAATCGTAAATTCTGTTTTTACCGAAAAATGAAGAATGATTGATATATAATGAAGTTAATAAGGATAAACCAAAAGGGAATAATAAAGAAAATACATAGGATTCTGATATGAAGGGGCAACGAGAGGCAGCTTCGTGAAGTAACATGTTAGGTCTCTCTCGCAAACAAAAATGATCATAAACTAGAATAAAAAGTTTATTAAAAAAAGGTCTAAACATCTATCAAAATTTCTGTGTACTTGTGCTGTAAATTATAAGATATACTATGATAAGATAAGAAGATATTTTAATAAAATATCAATGGAAATGGAAACGCGCAGCCAAATAGTGAAGAGCAAATATATTGGCGAAGACTGGAGTGAGTGAATCACTTCAAACAACAGCTGTATCCACTCTGTCTGAACAAAACCGCGTTTTCTCTCACTCTTCATATTTTATTGGTTAGAAACATTATTTATATTTCGCTATTTATATTTTGTTTCGTATGATCATACGCTCTCAACACTCCTTTATACACACAGAGAAAGCTGTAAACCGAGATATCGACAGTCAAAAATCTCTAAACCATTATGGTGTGAGTTTATACTAATGGTCAATAAGTACTATATTGATATCAGCGTAACAAAAACTATATGACTACAATATTTTCCTTTTTCTTTTTATAACATTTTCAAATAGAAAGGCAACAAAAAAGTTAACCAAAACTGAAAAAGGCAAAGCAAAGTTACGTGTGATTAGAGACTGAAGGAATCATGTGTTTTTTGTTCTTTCTTATTTTCCATATAGATTCAATTAATACACATCATATTTAAGCAAACGTTACTTTAAGTGTTAACTTTCCCCTTTGCTCTTTTAAGTCCGTTTTGTGAACTTTGAGGAGATTCTCCACGTCGAATCTAGCTAAACTACACAACTAGATTTACCTATCTGTTATACTTAAACAGCCAAATGATTAAAACTTTTTTCCAAATTCTCCATGCATATTGTATTTCTGAAACTTTTATACAAATCAGAGGATTATAACTCAGTATAATTTCATGTCTTTGGTTAATCAATAATTGATTTACATTATTACTTAGAATGTATCTGTCGAAAGTGACATAATTAAGGTGAATATTGGATATTTTTGTTTTTATTGTTTTGCCTTTATTTGATCGTTTCTACGATCAGATTTGAAATCCAGTATCATAACAGCATATTTCAAAATTACTTTAGATTTTCTGATTTACGAGACGTCGAGATTCTATATATATACTAAAAATAAGTTAGATACCAAATTAATTAGTATGTTATAGACCAAAAAAAGAATAATTAGTATGTGCATGCATGTGAGAGAATACGGAGGTGTGTAGATAGATACTAAACCAAGATAATGATTTTAAAAGAAGCATGTGTATTTTGGAAAAGCCAAAACAAACCTTATATGACTTTAAGACACACAAGAGCACATGTTGGAAAAAAAAAAGACACACAAGAGCACATGATCGAAGAGTGGAGAGATGGCATGTTCTTTTTTGGGGACAGCCTTGACTTTCTCACGAAGCCTTAAGGGCTTATGAGACTTGTCTTCCCTTAGACATTTCACACTTTGGTCCTAAGCAAACCCTTAAAGGGTCAAAGAGAGACGATTTTTGTCAGCTTTCCAGCAAAAATTACTTTTTTTTTTGCATGAAGAATTTAAGAAAATAAAGCATGTGGAGGCTTCTTGATTCCATTTCCACTATAAGGCCAATTCTGGCGATGTATTTTTAATTTGATTATTCCTGCAAGAAAATTCTCCATGCAAGAAATTGTGTGTGTGTGTAAATGTGTGTTGGTTTGTAACAATTTTTACCGGTATGAAACATTAACCGTACAGTACATCATTTTCGATATTAAATTATTATATCCAGACGGAAATTTTCATAACTATCACGCGACTTATTATGACATAGCTACTGACAGAGATTTACAAAACATATGTGATTCCATGTGTGGTATAGTTAAAATATTTTGATGTCAAGCTGGTATACGAACAATCTTATGCAGTTTTTTTTTAAAAGAAAATGGTGCACACATTGGGAAAATAATGTCACTTTCCCAAAATAGTTTTCATCGCACATATAGATTAGTGTTTCCATACACGCACACGTATACATGTATCCTTTCTTCACTGAGAGTATACTATTTCATAGCTATAGTTGGTTCGTTGGGTTCGAGTTCGATGGACCTAGATAACACGTCGTCATTTGGATAGATCAAAGTAGTGTTATTAGAGTATGTCCAGCAGGGATTTATCAAGAGTTCATGACACATGTTTTAAGACGAAATTCAATAAAATAATAATTTTAAAGGTAGAGGTTTATGGCTAAAATTCTTCCCAACGAACCTGAAGAATCCAAGTTCATCCAGATTCATCATACATGGAGCATCCTGATTGGTCCAAAAAAATAATTTTCGAATTTAAAAAAATAAAAAAACAAAATAAAAAAAAAGTATTATTATATTGGAATGAACCTCTTTCTCAGAAGTTCACTGTGGACATCGTCTTAGATTACCAAACATTTGGTAATTTGTGAATAACTTATATGACAAATGTTTTGTATTTGTCAACAGTATTGATCATGGCAAATGTTTACAAATAGTTATATTATTTTATTTTTTCCGAAATTTACATGAACAGCATATTGGTTAAGCGGTAGCCCATACCTGGCGGCTTCACCGACGCACCGTACTCCCTCCGTACCTTCCCAACAACTAAACAAAGACACGACCTTTACCATCACATCACATATGTTATCTAACAATATCTTCTTAATTTTTTTTTTGTTAAAACTTTCTTCAATTACATAGAAGATTAAAAAAATAATATTATCGTTCTCTTAATTAATTCATGTAGGGGCAAATAATTTAATGCGATATCCAATATAATAAATTTTTAGACACGCTGAGGAGAAAGTTCTAGGAAAATAGAGATGCCTTGGGTTTCATCATTATGGCTGGAGATATGCTCATATATAAATACTTAAATTACACTAATCATCCTCATTGTCACCAGTTCACCAGATTTTTTTTTACTTTCCTAGGTTGCATAGTTTCAGTAAGATAATCTAATTTCTGTTTCAGGATTAAAAGATTCAACATTTGACCTTCAACATTGGAGCTGTATACACAGGTTCTTCTCCTCATCTACCTTGTAGTTCTTGTTCAACGGATTTGGTTCTATAGCTTGAAATTTGGTTTTGGTAGTATTCCGGTATTCATCTTGTAGGGTATTGTGATAAGATTATCTACTTGCTAGACAAGTTAACCGGAAAAATTTCAAACCGGAATAAACTGTTGGCCGGCTTTCCATCGATACCAAGTTGATTCAATCACTAGTGCTTATATAATTGAACAAACAAAAAAAAGGGCTAATGATGAGATCTTCTTGCATCACACCAAGAAAACTAAAGAGTAAGAAGCAATGGAGATAAAAAAATCTTCTTGCATCAAACCAAGAAAACTAAAGAGTAAGAAGCAATGGAGATCAAAAACGCAACGAATGAGAAATAGCTCAATGAGGAAGAAGCAATAGAGATACTCCCGGCGGGACCATTAGCTGGATTGCCCGGAATCGAACTGCTTGAAGAAACCGTAGATCCTCTTGGTGAAGCTGCAATGGATCCTCCACCAACGACACCGTCAGACTCTGGTGAAGGTGTAGGTGTAGGTGAAGGTGAAGGTGAAGGTGCATACATCAGTTCCTTTGGAACAGTATCAGGTGGGGCTAAAAGCGGCGCTAACTGTTGAGGTCCTGCAAAATATTTTGCCAATTTTGTACTTTAGTTAGAGACCAACCATTTCATTCATTCATAGAGAGGACATGATGAGTCATCATTATACTGACCGGGACATCGAGGTTGGAGAGACATGGATAACCTGAAAATCAAACCGAGAGAGATAGAGATCGGTTAAATAGGTTGTTTTAGACTCATTAGCACCTGAAATTGCGATAAGAAAAAGACTCATTACGTGGTCAAGATAGTGCCATTAGCGAAACCGTTGTAACTACAAGTAGTAAGTTTACAACCAGCGCTACTCTGCTGCGAAGTGATGTTCCCAAGCATGAACTTGCTGTTTCTACATTGCATACTAGAGCAAGAGACTGCCAAAGAAGCAGGCTCACAATACATACTGCATCACACCACAAAATTGCAAATGATCAGCTAGTTAGCCAAAATCGACTTAACACAGAACTCAACCGCTAATTACCTGCGGCTTCCGAGTGCACAGCTGCATTGTACACAGTGGCCTGCGGTGAGGGCATAGCTTCCATTTGGAATGATCAATCCGTAATCCGTAGCGTATTTGGGGAAATTCGAACCACAAGCTGTGACGTTTTGGTACAAAAGAACAACAAAAACATTCAACATCTACGTAGTTACACAGAAAGATTGAGACTTAAGACTTCTTATGCCTCTGAATCGAAATTTTTTCTAGAAAGATTGAGACTTTAGACCTCTTATGCCTCTGAATCGAAAAATTCTATAGAAAGATTGAGACTTTAGACCTCTTATGCCTCTGATCGAAAAATTCTATAGAAAGATTGAGACTTTAGACCTCTTATGCCTCTGAATCGAAAAATTCTATAGAAAGATTGAGACTTTAGACCTCTTATGCCTCTAAAGATAATTTTTCTGATTCCAGGTTTCTAATTCAACAAGGAAGAGAGAGAGCGTGAGTCTTACCTAGCAATGGGACAGCGAGGATATCGCCGGGATTGATATCAGGAGCTCCCATGGCATTGACGTTTGTTAAATCCGTAACAGAGGTCGAGAATCTCTTTGCGATTCCAGTCATTGTATCGATTGGTCTCACAACGTAAGATAGATAAAGTGCCGGGAGAGATTCGTCGGTACCATTGAAGCAAGCGCAAGGAAGGGGAATCACAAGGCTTGTACCTACATCGAGAGTAGAAGATTCAATCGCCGGATTCGCCACCTGAATCTGCTCCGGCGAGACCAGACCACCGTAAACAGAGTCGGCGATCGATCCTAGGGTGTCGGAAGTACGGGTTTTGTAATGGGTAGAGAGGGATTTCCTGATTCCGTCGACACATGAGCAAGTGATTGGGATTTTGAGGAAGAGGTTTGAGGGGAGGACATGGTTCTCGACGTCTGGGTAAGAGATATCGATGGAGTTGGAGAGGAGCACGGAGATTGGGTCCACTTGGAAGAGGGATGCGACTTCTGTTACTTTGAGATCGGCGTAGAGTGTGTACCCGAGCAATGAATTACAAGTGTCGCTCGTGGAGCAGGGCTCTATTGTGGATTTTGCAGTCGCCATTGAAGATAAGCTCGAAGCTAGAATTAGAAATAAAAGTAAGGGTTTTTCTGGGTTCTTCATATCTGATTTCCCTTCCACAACAGAAAATAAAACAGGTAATTGCTAGGGTTTTACGAATTTCAGAATTTGTAAGGTTTTTACACACACACACACACACTCACTCTCTCTTTTTCTGGAAAATGCTAGTATCAGCGGAGAGTACAAGCAACAAAAGAAGAAGCTCAGAAACAAGATTACAGGTGATTTTGGGTTTGGAAATCTCTTCGTCCTCTTCCAAGGAGAGAGAGAGAGAGAAAGGAGAGAGAGAGAGAAAAAAAAAAGTTACAAACTTTTTGTAATACACTATTGTAGTTGAGAGCTGAGTGAGCAGCAGACAAAAGACAACGGTAGCTTTGCGATTTTGCAGTTAACATATTTTGCTATGACGGATTTGCCCCTCTATGTATCCGTTCGGTTTGACCCCACCATGTAGGTACATCATTGAATAATTCACCGGTTCAAGGGTTAACAAACGTAAATTAAAACTTCTTTTAAATTTTCATCAGTTAATTTTTAGTCAAAAAATAATTCATCAATTACAGTTTTCTTATGATAAATTATATATTTAAAATAAATATATCATTTGAATCCTGTAAACTAAATATTTCATATCATTTGAATCCTGTAACTTAACTTCAACCGGAGTCGGTTAAGTGGTAAGAGGTAAATCCGGGAAATTATGTCCCTCAATTGAGGCCCACTTCAAAGCCCACTCGCCTTTTTTTTTTGGAGCTAAAGTGCTAAAGCGAAGAGATTGTCACTAGTGTAAAAGAGCTGGGGAAAAGCTTTGATCCAAACACGGTCTTCAAGTTTAGCGGGAAAGAGAAAAACAGAATCTTCTTCCCTCCAAATAAACAGAATCAATTTATCAAGAGTTGTTATTTACATCGGACATATCGGTTTTCTTTTAACCTTCAACGTCGTAATTTTATCTTAACCAAGATCCCCAAATTCACACCAAAACCCTAGATTCTACCGTAAAACTCTGATTTCTCGAAATTCAAGTTCGTAAACACTTAATTGACGATTTGTCCCCATGGACGAATTAACTGAGAGAGACGGGATTGCCGCGACGGTGATCGAAGTGGATCAGACTCCACGGAGGAATGTTCGCCGGAAGTTGGTTCAGTCGACGCTGGTCCCGCATAAATCGGAGGATGTAATTGAGTCCAATGGGGATCGAACCTGCGATGCCGGTAATAAGGATGAAGGCGAAGGAGGAGATGGAGATCTCTGTAGCAGTCAAGGGAAGAAGACGAGAAAACAGAAAGAGAGGACTCCGAAGAACGGAGCTACTAAGAAGGTTGGTTCGATTATTTTTTCATGCCTAGATTACGGTGTTTAGCTTGCTATGTTTGTCCTCCCGAATTTGGCAGCTAGGAGAATTTAGGTAAGGACTCTACAATGTGCATTACTTTAGAGAAGATTTAGTAATCGTGGTCTCTTTTTGTTTGATGCAGTTGGCTAAGGGAAAGTCGCCTCGAAAATCAACGCCTAAGAAAAGTTCAACTAAAAACGGGATTGTAGCTGGTTCTGATCAATCGATTTCTGCCAATGTCTCAACTCCAGTTCCCAATTTGCGGCTTGAAGCAAAATTAAGAGCTGAGGTAAGTAAATCATCATCAGAATTAAGCACAGATGTGAAGTAGCTTTAAACACTTGGGACAAAATTTGTTGTGACCTTTGGCCTGATGTAAATTGAGTCTGAATTTTGGGCATTTATTGGTTTCTATATGATCAGGAAGATTCGAGGATGTCTGCAGGCAAGCAAATACATCCGTTTTTCTCGTCTTGGAAGGGAGGTAAGAAAAATCAAGAAGCAGCCGCAGCAGAGAATGGTAGCTGTCAGGGTCAAGGAAGAGATAAATTCGTCACCATCGGCCCCATCCATGTATTTGAGAGGTTTCAGGTATGCCGTATAGATAAAGGGTAACTTCCTCGATCGTGTTTACTAACTAAGCAATCCGAATAACGAAATCTTCTTCTTAGGATGTACATCGGACCATTGATTGGAAGAACTGGACTTTCTGTGAGCAAACATCCACCACTTGGAGTTCTGATCAACAAAAAAAGTTCGACTCTCTTGAACGCCGACCCAAGGAATTTGATCTAAATGAACTGCCGCCTCCTGACGTGTGCATCATCGATGATGAAGAGCCTAAACAATGTGCTAGTCAATCAGAAGTTGACATAGAGGTATCTCCGGTAGTCTTAGTAGCGTATCAGGAGGAGAAACGTGGGTACCTTGGCTCCTTGGAAGGAGCAGAAGCGGTAATAAGCTAAAAATTTCCAGTTTGGTCTTTGTTTTTCGTTTCTTGGAACCATTCATGACAAAGGGTCCTTCACGACATTCTTTCTAGGGTTGTGAAGTTCATGAAGCAGTTAACTTGTCTGATCGTGCTGGTAGTGCAGCAGACATTTCTTGTGAACTGCAAAGCATATCATGTCGAGAAAGGTGGCAATTTTGTGGTTTGATATCACTAGTAGAACACATGTTTGACCTTTTATTTCTAATCTGTGCAATAATAATTTCAGTAGCCAGCCTCGTAATAGCTTATGGGTAGATAAGTACCAGCCAAGAAGTGCCTCGGAGGTAAGACAATTTGAACATACTGCCTTCATAGTGGAATATGCATGTTTATATCTTCTGGGAAAATATGATTAAAGAAAAGCAGCAAACTCAAGTTTCTCATATTTTCTTACTCGAGTTCTTGCAGGTATGTGGTAATACTGAATCTGTAAAACTAATGAACGAATGGCTGTGCCTATGGCATGAGAGAGGATTTCAGCCAAGCAAAGAGTTTTTGAGTAGTGATGAAGAGAAATCGCAAGATGCTGATTACAACTGTTCTGAAAGTGATTCTGACTCAGAAAATATTGGTGCCGAAGAATGCCTGAAAAATGTTCTCTTAATCGTTGGTCCAGTTGGGGTGTGTGATAAGATATTCTGCCATGAACTGACAGTTTTTACTTCTACATTGCTTTCTGAGTTTCATGAATGGGACTCTTACATTTGTGAGTATGATTGTGGATGTGTTTCAGAGTGGGAAATCTGCAGCTGTTCATGCATGTGCTAAGGAGCAAGGATTTAAAATCCTTGAGGTATGAACGTGTTACTACTAAATGTATCTGAAGTGTTTTATTCTGCAAGATGACCCTTTTTTCTCTTCTGGCATGGAAATATTTACTTTTGGAAATAATCTCTAGCTAATGTATAGTGAATGCCTCTAATGACTTTTTTTTGGCTATAGTCGAACGCATCAGAATGCCGAAGTGGAACAGTTGTTAGGCAGAAATTTGGGGAGGCTCTCAAGTCATATAGCTTGCAAAGGTAAATAGAGTAGCAGCAGTTATGAATGTTTAAATCTGCTATTATCTGTTTTTTCATCGGTGCATGCAAAGTCAAGGATACTGTGTTTATATTCACGTAATTTCTTTTGTCAGATCCTTGGACCCTCTTTTCTATTCCTGTAGTGATGGTACTGGGGTAGAGGATGTGATTGAAGTGACACCTGTATTGCATATCCAGAATGACAGAGCTAGCGTGAAGCCTTTAATTCTTTTTGAGGATGTAGATATTTGCTTTGCTGAAGATCGTGGTCTTGTTTCTGCTATCCAGCAAATTGCTGAGAAAGCAAAAGGGCCTGTGGTATTGACTACCAATGGTAGTATTCGTTCAATATACTTTTTTCCCTCACTTGTTGTGTATCTTAATTATCTAATGATAGCGTCTGTATTACATGGATATTTACAGACAAGAATCATGTTTTACCAGACAACTTGAAGAGGATAGAAATACGCTTTTCTTTACCATCAACAGAAGAGCTGTTTAGCCACCTTTCTTCGGTAAATATTCCGATGCGTAACCTCTGATTGTTAATTGGATTCTTCTAACATTTGTTTGGTTCACAGGTTTGTGCGGCAGAGGAGGTTAAAGTTAATCCTGGTTCACTAGAGCAATTAACCAATTTTAGTGGTGGTGATATACGGAAAGCAATGATGCAATTACAATTTTGGTTTCAGAGTAAATCCAAAAGAGGTACATTCAAAGAAATATTTTATTTTTAGTCTCCACAGGTTCACTAGTTAAAGACTAGGTGAGAATATGTTCAGCTATGTATAAAATATGTTCTAACGTCTGATCTCTTTACATTTCAAATTCCAATACCCAGCTAGAAATGCGAAGAACACTGGTGATCCAGATTTCTTTGATCATGAAGCTAGTCACGTGCTCCTTCCCAAGATAATTTCACGGGATTTTCCTTCTCAGTTATCTCAGTTTGTGGAGAGTGAGATTGCTAGATCATTATCCATGGCGGAGGAAACTTATAACACAGTTGAAGTATTTGTTGAAGAGGTTGAAGACGAAAAAATGCTTAATAGATTGTGGAGGCGGGGCACAGAAAAGAACAGCATAGAATCCAAAAAAGCAGCCATGTTAAGGCAGAACACTTGTTTTGAGGATTATGATGAATTAGAAGACGTCTTAAGTATTCCGTTTGACCTTAGCAACACTTCCTACCAACCACTGTCTTTCTCTCAGCCAAACAGAAGGAGGAAGCTCAATGTCGTGATGTCCTCTGACTCAGAAGATGACCCTTTAAGTGACATACGGGTTTCAATTTCAAGACATCAGAAGGACGAAGGACTAGTTGTCCAAGAAAATGGTACGGTGTCCTCATATTGTCCAGATATGCAAATGGAAACAACCCCACTAGCTGATCCTTCAGTTCCTTCCAGGGCAGAGATATTAGAAACAAGTTGTTATCAGTATGAGAAATCAATAGTCTCTTGCATTAATGAGGTGTCCCAGTCAGTTGATGTATCGTGTGTACCAGAATCTTCATATGTTCCAGAAACTTTAATGGATGGTGATGCTGAGCTGTCCCCAAGAGCGGTATCTTGTGGTCATTTTGATGGAAGAGTAGAAGTGTCCATGAGTGAAGATGTTGTACATAATTCCCCATCAAAAGAGATATACATAGACAGATTTCCGAGTTTTGATTGCTTAAAGAATACATGTGAGAACACTGCAGAATCTTCTGATGGGGCAATGATGGAAGATTGTTTTAAGGAATTTGTAGGGAGTTCCCAGAAGATGCAACAAGTAACAGATGAATGCAGCCGTATAGATTTTGGTATGACAGTCAAGACCGCTCAAAAATCGAAGGTTAATACCTCAAGATATACGGTGCAAGAATCATGGAAAAAACTCAGTTCGATTCAAGCTGATCTGAAGCCATACTTGGATTCAGAACCTGTAGAAGCTCCAGAAGTTCTTGACATCACTCATCAGATAACCAACTTAATTTCAGAAGCTGACCTGACGCATTCTAGATGCCTGAAGTTTGTGAGTATTACATTTACCCTTCAGCTTCCTTTATTTCTAGATTTACATTCTAGATTACACTCACAGTTGTCAGGTCGGACGTTTTTAACTAATGGAATTTACTTCTTAGGTTGCTACGGAGCCAATGATGAACACTTCTGGAGATCTTGACACGTCTGGTCTACCTCATGTGCTTGAACATATGACTTCCACCGTGGCGCAGCATGGATTTAGCTTTTTCACAAATCAAATTGCTACAACAGGATCTGTCCCTACTTCATCAGCCACCATGGTACCAGAAAGAGGTTTGGTAGTAGACGAGACAAGGCAGGATTACACATCGAGCAGTGGAAGCTGCTTGGATATGAAACCAGAAACACATATAGACGTATTGAAAAGGTAATATCATCCTCCCAATATATTTGAGCTAATCATTTTCACTGGGTTTAACTGTTGCAATGGCAAATTTCTTGCTGATACAGTTATCTTCCAAAACTTTTAACTGTTAAATCTTTCTCATTATTCGAGCTGCTGTTTTTTCTCGAAAGCAGTGAGCGAATGGTACACCTTTCCAGCATATTAAAGTCAGTAGTTCCTCCGAGATCATTGGAAGGAATCGCTTTCCATGAATATGCTTCATTCATAGGGCAGATTTCAAGAGCAGATCCCTCTAACTTATCCGGAGCCTTGGAGAAAAGCAGACGGCGAAGGTCAGTACGAATTGCTTCACGATATATTCTTCGTATGATTGAATTCTCTCTTAATCTCCATTTCTCCTCGATTCAGGTCAAGAGAAGCTCAACACTATCTGTCAATGGATCTATCCTCAGAAGATATTGCATTCTTAGGTCAACACAGCACATACAGAAGAAATGAATAACAATAGACTAGTTTCAGTTGTATATTATTTAGAAAAGCTCCACACATAGGAAGAGTTTTTAACGTGTTTGCTCAGCAACAATTTAGCAGGGATTAGGGATCGATCTTTGGGACCTTGCTTTAGGCATGAACTTAGTATAGTTTCTTCATTTATATACACAGAAAAAATTCAGAAAGCAGCAGTTGTTGTAGTTCTCTCCTTCCGGTTTTGAAAATGTATTCGATAAATTAAAGATTCTACATATCACAGAGATATAAATAGTAGGAACCATTATCTCTTCTATGAGACCCAAAAACAAGACGAAAAAAAAACAAAATGTTACTTTTTCTCTATTAAGGTTTTCGAGTAAACTGCATATTTAGTAAAAATTCAACGCCTCTTGTGTGAATGCTTCTCTTCTGCAGCAGCAGCTTGCACCAGTGAATACTGAATTAAGTTCAGACTTTGCCTTCGAGTTTATCGTTATTAACGAGAGGGAGTAGTTCCATCTTGTTTCTTGGGGTACGAGGAGTCCTAGGAGTTCCAGGCGTTTGCTGCGAAAGCATATGCCTCACGTATCCATAAAACGTGCAGCCCAAAAGCGTAATTCCGCATCCAACAGCATTCATATACGATATTGGGTTACGGAATATCAACCATGACACCAATACAGCCACCGCAACCTGCAAACAGAGTATGAACCATGCTCAAGACATAGATGCGGAGAAAATAAACTCAAGAGCAATTTGAAAGAAATTGATTAGTTACGTGGTTTAGGATTGTCTTTGTTACCTTAAGGTTTCCAGCTACGTTGAATGTGACTGCGGTTGTGGAGTGAATGACATAGAAGATGGAGAAGTTGAGACAGAAGGCTAACACACCAGAACTGAATATTATGATGAGAGCTGACCATGGAGACGGGTGTGCTTCAAACCAGCTCAGAATTCCGTTGCCTTCCAGTAATAATGCCGGTATCCCCAGAATCATGGTGGCGAAAGGCGCCATGTAGTATACTGTGTTTATGCTATATAAAGAAAAACAGAAAAAAAAAATCAAATCTTTCTTCTTCGCAGATGAATATTCAATCACAGGCTCACTTCTCCAAAGGTGATGTGATTGACTCAACCAGAAATAGAGATATATCAATCACCACTGAGGCTAAACCCAATTAAAGTGACTGTTTTTTCAATTTGGACTAAGATACCATCACATGATTATCTAGTGCAACAGAAGCAATTGATTGCATATCAAATCCAAAAAGACACAACAGGAAAATACAGACACTGAAATTGGAAACTACATGAAGTTTTCATGACTTAGCACCCATCATGGAAAATAAAGTTCAAAACTGAATGGTATAGTAGCAAGAAATTCATGAGGATATCCACCAGGTAAGAGCACTGACCTGTCAAATTTGTAACCATGAAGAAGAGATTCGGCTAGAATGGTCTTTGTGGAGGTAGCTAAACATCCAAACAGGGCAGCACAGAATCCAAACATGTTAAAACTAAGTTCTGTGATAGATGTCAGAAGAATTCCTCCAACAATGGGCACAAGAGACGCCCAAATACGCCAATCGAAGTATTTCCTCCATACCAGCCACTGTAACACAACTGCTCATACATATATGTATATAGGAAACATCAGATTCTATTGAGATCCAAAGATCAGTAACTGCAAATTCCATCTCAAAACACTAACCTGTAGTTGCTGGAGTGAATGATTTAATCGTCTGCATAAAAGAAACCGGGATGTACCGAAGGCTGACATTTCCCAACACTATGTTGATACAGAACACGAAAGACATTGGGAAAATCCTCCTCCACCGATCTTCTGGATCGACCACAATCAATGGTTTAAGCTTGAGAACTTTGATCACAATGTATGCTCCAATCGACGAACATATGAAGTGAACACATGAAACCGATAGTGGAAACTTGAAATCCAGTTTCTGCATAAGTTTTCAAAACACTATCATCAGTCTGTGAAGCTGAAACCCCAGAATAGACTCATCCGAAATCAAATTCAATTTTGAGAAAAGAGGAATCTCAAATCAAAACGCCAAACATTACAGTTTTTACAATTACGGAGACAGATCAGATCAATAGAAGATAGATTAAACGAAAAAGAGGATTATACAAATTAAGTAAAACCTAATACCAAGGAATCGTGGGGAAAGTGACGGTAAAAGATACCTGGAAGATCCATTTGTTCATGATGATGACGGTAACGTTGAAACCCCACCACTGAAGAATCGCTAGTAGAGATCTGAACACACTTCCCTCTTCCATCTCTCTCAATCTTATCTCTCCCCCGGAAATTCAACGAATTTCGGAATCAGATCGCAAAATGACAAAAACCCACAAAAGTTAACGAGTTTTTAGAAGTGAATCCGTGAGAAAGAGAGAGACCGAGAGAGCGAAAGCTGCGCAGCTAAATAGAGGAAAAGAGGGAAGAAGAAGAGAAAACCCTAATGAAAGTGAAAAGTGGAGAAGGTAACGGTAGCAGTGAGGTCTTCTTCCATGTGATTTGTTTCGAATTCTCTTCTGTTCATCAATCTCAAACGTCTCTCTCCATCTTTCTCTCTCTCTTATGCCATGAAAATAGTGTTTTGCTCTTCCGTAGGATTCCATTTAGTATAAGAAATTAAAAAAATATATAATTAAAAATTAAAAAAACTATTTGACAATTAAATTCTTTTGTTGAGCTTACTGTAATTCAATTCATCCGAAAGTAAAAGTAAAATCTATCGGCAACACAGAAAAAAAAAAAAAAAGAGTTCAAATATCACGAAATAGTATTTCCATGTTATGTGGAGGTTGAGTCAATTGTCAATTTCCAAATCTCAAAGCATATGGTATATTGGTATTACAATATCTTTTGGCGACAAGGTTTTATTACATGTGTAATATATATTTTGTCAACAATATGTAATATATTAATTTAAACATATAATAGGAAAATTAACCTAAATGTGATACAATAAGTCAATACACTATGTATAAATATCACTTGACTAAACGTGATGACTAATTTTATATCTATAGAATATAAACCTTTCGTGCATGTCTAACTAACATATGACTGTTTTATATTAGCACTATTAAGTTTGGATAATAGCCTAATATCAAGTAAAACTAATAGTGATGCTGAGTATACAAATTTTCACCAATACAAAGCTAAATTTTCACCAATACAAAACTCTGTAGTCTCCCTTTTCTTTTTGAAAGTTTGTGTTTATGTTTTTTTCTTTGTATACAAAGCTAAATGCACAACTAATATCAATGCGGTTGTTTTTTTTTTCATGTGATAAACGACCCATTTTTGTTTTGTCACAGGATTTTGCTATTGTCGCAATTAGAAAACAATTTTAGAAAAATAATATTTGTTCTGTGGTATATTGTCCCACATAATTCCGAGTATACGGGGAGATCACTGCCGTCCGATGAACATATTTTTATCATGACGTTGACATGCTATGCTACTGTCTATTTTTATTGGTTATGAAATATCCCTCTAATTTATTGGTTACAAATTTTTTTATTGTTAAAAAAATATAGGGGGAAATTTTAAAAATACATATTTTTTGTGGGTGATTTTCAAAACTACAACTGTTTCATGTGTTGTGATATATTGGTTACTGTTTTAACACTTTTGTTCTATTAAAGTTGAGCGTTTACTGTCAACAAGTTAGACGTTCTATAGTCCACATTTAATTTATTGTTTAGACGTTCTATACTCTAAATTAATTACTCTAACGTTATTACTTTTGTTCTGGAGTACTATTTGTACGCTAAAGTTAAATTTATCAAAATTATGGACCAAGCTACTCAAAAAAATGCAAAAGGATATACTGAGGAAATTTACGAAATAGCCTTTAAACTTTAATATGGTCTTAAGTTTTCTCTGAATATAGAATAGGTTTGGCAGCCAAATTTATTTAAATAAAACGGCGACGCTATTTAGCCATGGACATCATTTATTATATATTTTCAAAACTCTTTAAAAAAAAATTAATGTATACGATATCACGAGCAAAATGCATATAACATTTATATAAATTTACATACACAACCCGAATTTAACATGTTTTACGTACGACCATCCATTATTGAGTTTTTACTGACTTGGTCAAACCACGAGAAGGCAACCCATCTGATGATCTAACTTTATGTGAACAATAAGACAGGGTATATACATATATATATATATATATTAAAATAAGAACTTCAACAAAAGTGAAAGATTCAATTTCTTGAATGAAGTAGGCAGCAAGTTTTGGTGTCCCTTTTGCATAGTGTAAGCAATGAATACTAATTGTGAATTAACTACATGTGTGAAATGCAAGGCAAGTACTAGTTTTCAAGCTAAAATATCAGAACTTTAGCGGTCGCCTATAACTAAGTGAAAATCATTTTTCCTATCAAACTTTAGGCGGTCGATAAACATAAAAGGTTAGCCAAAAAAAGAAAGATAAGTATAATATAGTGAAGACGCTGCTTGCGTGTCGAAATGCATAATAGTATTAGCTAGGGTCTGTATGAACAAGAGAAGCTGAGGATATTGGGTCTTGATTTGATTTTGTTTTCTTTCCTCGAGGTCTTGGTTACTCGTAAAATCATAAACAGAAGGAAAAAAATCATTATTCAAATGTTAATTATGAATTCATTTTCATATTTGCTCTCCATAGCGACCAAAGTCATTTTCCCACATTACTAATTTACTCATTGATTACACATAAACCAACCTTTCACAAACAAACAAATGAGGAAACCCACTTGAGAAATAGGGGAAGAAACCTACAAAAGTCAAAAAAGCATCTATTTAGAGAAACTTGTCGTCTTAATTATCAACCACCATTATTGTTATTCCTTATGCGGGTTTCAATTATTGAACATTGATCCAGAAGTTACAAACCCAAAAATGAGATGAAGGCAGAAAATGATTAAATGATTATTATGGCAGAGACTAGTGTGTGTTGCCACTAAGTGTGTATGGTTGTATCATGCACATGGGTGGTATTTGTCCCTTTTGCTTACTACAACACCAGTTAATGAGTAGAATCTGATCTACAACACCAACCAATAATAATAACTATATGATATGAACAAATCATAATTACCTATTCTAAATGTTTTAAAAATTGGGAGACGCTGACCAAGTAAGCAATTTTACCATTTTTTACATTTTTATACTTCAAAAACTTTAAAATTTGTTCTCTAAATTAAAAAAGTAAGAATTACCTTTCCTATATGCAAATGTTGACTTCGAAAAAAAAAGAAGCGAACGTTTCCTCTTCGTTACATATAATTGAGGCTTTTGAGGGATTTTTAAGTGGGCCTCGTAGGCCCATTTTGATAATCCTTTTTCTAATGAGCCCAGTAAGTTGTCACCATTCTCAGTAGAATCTCCAATGGGGGCAGTGACGACACGCAGAGATTTTTACTACTAAAAGGAAAATAAAAAAAAAGAGGGAAAAAGGGTCCCTCCCGCCCAAAAGCTCCCTCCCCTCCTTCCTTGCTCCGCAGACACACCGTTGTATTCAGATTCGCTCTTTCTTCAGTTCAGTGAGGAGGAGTAGTATCTAGGGTTTTTTTTTTCTTCTTCTTTTCCGTTTCGTCTCCATTTTGATTTTGGTTTCAACTAGCGGTGTACGGAATGGAGAAAAATCCGACGCAGATTGTTTCCGAACTGGGTTCTCGATTGCTTCAGTTATCTCGCCCGAACAAGGGTTCTCTGGTGAAATCACTACGGGTAATTTTTCTAAAGCTGATTCTGATGAGATGACTAGTTTCCAACATGCAAATAAGAACTGGGTTTGTTTTGATTTACTAGATTTTGATCATTTTGGGTTTGATTTCTCCACTGTTGAAACCTTGTTCTTACTCCTAAATAGCTCGATTCCTCGGGAATCGACTTGAATTTGAGTGGGTTTGTGACTGGGTGCGATGGGAATCTAACTTGCGAGGATTTCTTTATACCTATTTCAGTGTGCCTTGGCTCTCAAGGGTTTTGTGGTAACTGCATCTCTCGCTTTGCACATTTGAAACCGATTTTGGGGGTTTTTTTGTTTGTTTTTGTTTTTTCGTTGATCTACCTGTAAGCTAAGATCTGACGGTGATATGATATATCTATATTCTAATCAGATCCGAAATAGTCTATTGGGACGATTTAGCTTCATGGCCACTTTAGATCATGTTATTGTGCAAGAGTTTGCTTACACCTATTTCTGTAACTCTGCAGGAAGCTGCTACTACCCTGTCACAAATCGAGCAGCCTTTAGTCACCGAAATTGTGAATAAGAAAAAAGCTCTGAAACTGCTCGAAGCTGAGCTAAGACCTCTGAAGAATTCCATTTTAAAGCATGACCTCCTTAAAAATCGTGATAATGACGTGAGTCTTTTAGTCACTGTTTGTGTCAGCGAGATTTTTCGGATTCTGGCACCTGAGCCACCTTTTGAAGACAAGTATCTCAGGGTATGAAGATTCTTCAAATCCACCCCAATAAACATATTTCTTGTTATTTTTTTCTCCACATTGGATCCTCATCTATGGATATGGTTAATGTTTGAGCAGACACTTACGTATTCACAATTTCAGGATATTTTCAACCTCTTTCTTGCTGAGTTTTCTGAGCTATCTGATACTGTAAGCCCTTATTTCTCAAGAAGGGCGAAAATCTTGGAGACGGTTTCTCGATGTAAATGTTGTCTGCTAATGCTGGACGTGGACTGCCATGATTTAATTCACGAGATGTTTAACATGTTTTTCTCTGTTGCAAGGTAAGAGTTGAAAAGATTTATTTCGTACTTTCACGGCTACTCTGATATTTTCTTGGTAATAATGAACTGTATTAAAATGGCTGTTTTTCCATTTGCTTTACAGAGAGCACCATCAACAAAATTTAATTCAGCAGAAAAGTTCTAAAATGCAGCAGCGAAAGGCTACCACGCAGCAATCACAACAAAGTTTATTTAATGACATTTCAACTATAATGAATGATATCCTGAAAGAAGAGGCAAGTTCGTCGCTTGTCGATGTTATTCTGGAAAATCTTGTGAAGGAGGGACAGGTATGAATGTACGGAGTTTAAGTCTCCATTGATTATGATTTTCAAAATTATCAGATGATTATTTTACTCTTGTTTGCTTACAGGATGCAACTCCTGGTGCTAATAACCTTGCCAGTTCTCTCATTAAAAGCTGTACCGACACGCTTGAACCGTTCATTTGTAGCTTTCTAACATCCTGTTTTATGGAGAAAGATTCCATCCAGAGCAATCTCAAAGATTCTTATCATGAGATCATATTTATGGTCTCCTTAAATGCTCCCCAGATACTGCTAGCAGTTATCCCGAACTTGACCCAAGAACTACTGGTATTTACTATACACTTGCTTTTAAATAAACATATGATCTAACTTTTCTATGAAATTGGTTAAATTGTGTTATTTAGGAAGGTATATACTGCTTTGTTTTAAATTAGTTTTTATGTTCCTGTTTGGTTTTTTGGCTATTCACCTGGGCTGCTATTTTCTCTGTGCAGACAGATCAGGTCGATGTGCGAATAAAAGCCCTTAACTTAGCTGGAAGGATTTTTGCACAGCCT